TCTCGGAGCACTCTCCGCCTCCACTGCCCCACAGCCGGGCCTGGAACCTTCCTCTTCTAGAGATTGTCTCAGACACATAGCACCGGACCCCGATTTCTTTCCTCCATCTCTTCTCCACTTCCGCACCAGGCGCTGGTGTCCCGGTAGTCAGCTTCTTGAACCGGTCTGTCCCCAGCTGAGTGTGAGGGGCTCGGGGTTTGGGGGCCACTGGGCATGCTCTGCGGTCCCCGTCGCCCGGGCACGCTGTGGAGGTTCAGTCTTGGCCACTGTTTGCACAGCTAGAAGGAACGGCACAGCGAGGAGGGCTCAGGGGACTGCTCCGTGACAGCCTAGGCATCTTGCTTGTGTGTTTTATTTAATTTCCTGCTTATGCCACCACTATGAGCTACACACCATTCTAACATCCCCATTTTGTGGATGTGGAAACTGAGGCACAGTTTAGGTAACGTCCCCAAGGTCTGCAGGCTAAAGAGGGCAGAAGCTAGAACGCAACACTGGTTTGTTTGGCACCAAAGCCTGAGCTCTTTGCACACCCATGCACACACGTGTTGTGTGTAGACACACACGTGTATACACAAACGCGCATGCTCACTCTGACCTGGCGGGAACCTGGTAAGGCAGGAAGATGGCCGAGTCCATTAGCACCAAGCACAACACGTATTTATGGCTCCAATTATAGCCTCCCTCCTCCCCGCCCTCCGCACCACCGCCGGGAGCTGGAATAGCGACAGGAATAGTGTGCGCAGAGGTCCGAGGCCTCGGCAGCAATAAGTACAAGATTACAGAGATGTTAGCAAACCTGGTGACGGCGGCTCTATTATAATGATAAATCTGCAGCTTTATGTAGAAATAATGAGCCTGGGAGCAGAAGGGAGGGGAGGGAAGAGCAGGGTGACCAGCCAATCCAGGTTCTGGGTGGGGAGAAGCACGGTGAGGCTGACTTCCCACTGAGAAAGCCCAGGAGACCATCGGGGCCTTAGCCACGCCAGGCAGGACGGGGGATGGGGTGGACTTAATGCACTCCCCCAGTTCCTTCCCACGCCCGGCTGCGGATGGGATGGGCCAGCAGAGCCTCCCCCTGCCCTGGCGCCATCGGTCCGCTGGCTCCTCACCTGCCGCCTGGAGGGGGGACAGCAGCCAGGCTTCTGTCGTTGCCCAGAACAACCGGGGGTGGTGAGGCCATTGTCGGTCCCTGGTGGCCTAAGGTTTGCAGTTAACAGAGCTGGACTCCTCTGACGTCCACCCCTTCCCTGGCCTTAAAGCCCCCTGCCCAGTGGTTGTGGGAACACCAATGCTCCAGGCGTGGCTGCTGCAGACCACCCGGAGCGCTGGGTGACTCTCTGGTACAGGCTGGGGGAGCAATGGGGAGATGACATTCACGGACCCGTGTGACCTCAGAGAACCCTCCTGAGCCCCCTCTCCTTCCACCCAGCCTGTGGGTCACTGACCCCCACTTCAGTGCAGACCGGATCCCACTGGTTAATCTCTTTGCCGCTCTGAACACAAACCATCTGCCCGAACCGAACACAGGCTGCGTCTCTCCCCACCGACCCCTGCTCCACCCATTTGCCAAATGGCCTCCTTCTCCAGGAAGCCTTCCCAGGTTGCCCGAACCCAACGCCACCGCCTCTTTAATAATCCTCCCCTTTGCACCAATACAGACGATCCCCACTTTCAACGGTTCTACTTTATGATGATGTCAAAGCTGCATATCCAATAGGAACCGAACTTCGAATGCCGAATATTGGCCTTCCCCTGGGCTGGCAATCTGTGGTCCGATGTTCTCATGATGCTGGCAAGCGGCAGGGAGCCTCGGCTCCTGGTCAGCCACCGCTCATGAGGGAAAGCAGCAGGCACAATACAGTGTGTGAACTGTGTCAGGTGACCTGTGCCCAGCTGTAGGCTCATGTGTGTTCAGAGCATGCGTCAGGTGAGCTTGGCTAGGATGAGATGCAGGTGTATTACATGCATGTTGAGTTACTATGTTTTCAACTTACAGTGGGCTTATTGAGGCCTAATCCCATGGTCTGTCAAGGCGCATCTGTACACAGTTGTGATGGAGCTCACTCAGCCATTGGTCATTCAGCCAGAATGTGCTGAGTTCCTGATGCCATGCTGAGCTCCGAGGGGCACTCCAAGAGAAAGCCAAGGGTGGGGCACGGCCATTCCCGAGCCACGGGGAGCACGTGGCAAGACAGAATGTGATCCGGGGTGTAACTGAGGGATAACGGGCAGAATAAATCCAGAGGAGTGACGGCTGACTCCAGGGATGCTGTGAAGATGGTTGCTTTGGGTCAGGTGGGGGGGGGGGGCGGTGGATACCTTATGAGCAAAGGCCAGAGGCAGGAAGTCCTTGTGTTCAGGGACCGGCCTGCGGGGCACAGGAGCTGTGAGAGTTCTGAGCTCAGGGCCAAAGTGCAGGTCTAGGAAGGGAACTGGCGGGCCAGAGACGGGAGTGGCTGCACTCTGCTCCCCTCCTTTCTCCCCTTCCCCCCTCCCCGGCCCCTCTGCTCCTGGTCCCTCTGCTCCTGGGCCCCCTCTACTCCTGGTCCCTCTGCTCCTGGGCCCCCTCCTCTCCCCCCCCTCTGCTCCTGGCCCCTCTGCTCTGGCGAGAATGCTCCCCCTTCCTCTCTGCCTTTCAAGTTCCTCTCCATCTGGCTTAACCCCCATCATCTGGGAAAACTTTCCTGCTGTACAGATTCTCAGATCCAACCTCACAGGGCATCGCTGGCTGCCGCATGAACAGTTCCTGTCTCCGTAATTGGATTCTGCATTTCTGTGGGGTGCAGAGGCCGGCATCTGTCCCAGCCCCGCAGCCCCCAGGGTCCGGCGCGGTGTCCTGCTGGGGGGGGGGGGGGGGGGCTGCCATGGTGCTGATGGGCATGCTAGGGTGCCGTGGTGTGCCCAGCACCTCTTGGACGCTCTGCCTTGTTCTGACGCTGATGTGGAAGGGAATGGGACGAGAGCAGGGACAGCCCCCAGTTCTAGGGTCTGGGACCTTACCCAGGTGCGGGGTGCTTGGGAGGACTGCCTCCTCCAGGACTGGGGGCTCCGCTCAGGAAGTCCCAGGAGAGGGAGCACTCTGGTTAGAAGGGGGCTCCTGGGACGGTGGCCCTCGCGTCTCCCTCTGAGCCCCTGGGTCTCAGCCACAGCGGGTGAGGACGAGCCGCTTGTCTCCACCTGCAGGCACCCTAGGAAGCCGCTGCCTAGGGAGACCAGCAGGGGCGGCTGCACCCCATGCGGACTTCCGAGTGATTGTTGGGCAGAGCTGCTGTGGCATCCGCCCCGTCTACCCACCCCGCTCTGGGTGCTGTTCGTGGGGTGACATTTCAGGCAAGTGAGGGTGGGGAGGTCAGAGTCAGCACCAGCTACGAGAATGGGGTGTCCCAGAGGCAATGCCTCGGCCCAAGAACGGAGCCCACCAAGCTTCCTCTAGCTCTTAGAACACACCCAGGTGCTCGCCCTTTCTCACCAGAGCAGGGCTGGCTTCCCAGCCCCCCCCCCTCCGAGTCCAACACAGAGACATCGGGTATCGGCTGTCCACAGGGAGGGTCCGCAGACTGAGTGGGGTCCCACCTGCTCCAGAGAAACGGTCTCCGCTCCAGAGAAAGACCTGGGAGACAGTCAAGCAGTTCACACCCAAGACGCCAGACAAGAGGCCACCGCTGCCAGGTGGGAGCACCCTGCTGGGCCCTCGGCGGCCTGGGCGGGCTTCCGGGGAGACACACCACCGCCCACAGGATGCGCTCACACCGCTCCCTCGGCACCCACCGGTGCTGGGCGTCCGTCTACACCAGGCCCAAGAGCCTGCCACGTGGCCTCTCCGGTTCCGTGCCAGAGCTGGCCTCCCTCCTCTCAAAAGCGAACTGAGCCTCAGCTCCTCGAATCGAACAGCCCAGACACCCTCTGCCACTTAGCCAGGTGCCCTTTGAGGCCACCCTCCCACACACACACACACACACACACACGCCCAGCCTGGCCGGGGCACACAGTGCCTACGAGAAGGTGGTCGCTGGGGCTGGTCGTTAAGAACACCGGTTCTCCTGGGCACACGGCAGGGTGGCCCTGCCCAGCCCCCCGGTATTAGGAGCGGCCTGAGTCTTGCTTTGGCTGATGAAATGTGAGTGGAAGTGACATGTGTCACTTCTGGGTGGAAGCTTTGAGGGACAGTCACGGTTTGCCACCTCCCCCTCCTCCTGACACGGTCACGGGAGCACGTGTGGAGAGGGAGCTGTGGGCTGGATCCCTGGGTAACGAGGAGGCACACAGCCCGGGTCGGGCTGCAGAACATGGTGCCGGGAATGAGAACTCACGCTTGGGGGCTTTACGCTGGCGATTTTCAGCTTTTTTCATCTCATCGCACACACGCCAGCGACTGAAATTCCGCGGCACGCCAAACAAGTGTATGTTTGCCCATCTGACACAAACACGGGATAATTTTCATTCATTTCTCCCAGACGGCTATTGTGTTGGCTGTTGTCATGTTGTTATTTGACAGCTATGGGAAAAGAGGTCAGTGCCCCTGACTAAACAGACAGGTATCGCGTGATTTAAAAACGCTCGAGGCACAGCGGGTGAAAGTCACTGTGCGCTAAGTCACCAGATCCTAAGGTTGTTTGTTGCTGGGGCGCAACCTGGCTCATCCTAGCGAACGTAGCCTGTTCCTGATTGCCTTTGATCCAGGCTACGGGCCCGGCCCCCTCGTCACCCACAGTCGGAGACATATGCCATCATCCTAGAGGCGGCAAACACGGGGCCTAGCAGGTGGAGAGAATCGCCTAGAACTTGTGATCAGACGCAATCGGCAAACATTCCCTTCCCTTCTCACCAACACGGACGCCCTCCGGGTGGGCGGGGCCCCTGGCCAGTCCCCAGTCCCTCTTCCCGTCCTGGAGGGCCGCGGCCCACCTGTCCCCAGGGGGCGGGGCTGGGACACATTCCCCCCCCCCCCCCCACCTAGAACGAGGGGTCCCGTGCACCGGGGCGCGGGCCGGACTCACGCTCGTGGCGTACTGGATGTCCTTCCAGACGGAGGTCTCCCGGGACAGGTCGGAGGCCTCGAAGAGGTTGTCCAGGATCACCTCCCCGATCATGTCGTGGCGGGAGAAGCGGTCGAAGTCGAAGACGCTGAGGTGCAGCTTGCGGTCGGCCAGCTCCTCGTAGGGCACGGGGAAGCGGAAGCTCTCGTCGAAGGTGGGGTTGAGGGCCTTGCGGTGCACCCGCGTCTGCTGCTTGCACTTGCGGTCGGGCAGGAGGTAGATCTTGACGTAGGGGTCCGAGCTGCCGCAGAAGTCCTTGGCGGGGAGGTCGAAGGCCTTCAGGATGCGCACGATCAGGGTCTCGGCCTCGTAGTCGTAGCGCAGCGTGAAGTTGATCTTCCCGCAGCTCTTGGCGGCCTCGGGCTTGGCCTCGTCCCCGTCCACCGACTTCTGCTTGTACAGCTCGGGCTTGATGCGGCCGATGCTGGTGGGCTGCTCCGCGGCCGGCGGCAGCTCCTGGCCGTAGTCCACGCTGGACACGTGCATCTGCCGGGGCAGGTGGCGCTTGAAGGACGTGTGCCTGGCGGAGGGCGGGAGGGGGCGGAGGGCGTGGTCAGAGCTCAGGGGGAGGGGATGTAGGCAGGCACCCCCTCGCCCCCCCACATCCCTGACTCATCCTCCCCGCTGTGGGGACCCCCTTTCCTTCTGCACACACTTGGTGTGCGGTGCGTCTTGAAAGTAGTTGCTATGGGCCTGGTATATGGTAAGCCCAGGACATATGGGCCATTTGCTGGCATTCGCATTCTCCCTGCTTTTCTGCCACCGACCTGCTTTCTAGGTTTCTCTCCTAATACATGAGCCTCCAGTTCCCACGTTAAACCACCAGATCCCTTCCGAGCAGGGCCATCCTTTCCTCTCCTGGGGGCGGCTGGCGGCTGGCGGCTGGCGGCTGGCCCTCCACCACGGCCCCATCGCCACAGTGAACGTTTCTGGGCTCTCCAGCCCGGCAGTACACGTTCATCCTGGCTCTGCCGCTGTTTCGCTGTGCAACCTCGAGGCCACAGGATGACCTCTGGCAGCGTGGCCCCAGCCCTGTCCTTCCAGCCTCCTTCCTCCCGGCTGGTCCCCGGGGAGCTGGGGGAGACACGGCAGGGGCCAGGCACTCAGAGCCCCGAGTCTGGAAGAAACACAGCGCCTCAGGCCTGCTCGCATCGCTTCTGCTAGAAGCGTGTCTGGATTCACAGCAGGTTTTTGTGATTAGGTGGCGGTTTGGGCTTTTCGGTTGAAGAATGCCATGTCTACAACCGCGGTCGTGTGGGGAACTCTGCCAGCGGCGCCCAAGAAATCCTCAAACTCTCAGAACGCTCCTGCTCTCCCTCCCCCCCGGGCCTGGCAGACTCCAGGGCCCAGGCTCTGCGGGCATATCCCTGGCCACCGGTGAACGCCCATGCCTCTGGGCCTTGGCACGTTCTCCTCCCTCTGCCTGCCATCTCTCCTTCCCCGAGAACACCCAGCACCTCCCCGCGGATCACCCCCCATGGAGCACATCCTCCGAAATGTCCTCCAGTCATGGTTCTAGTTATTGCCTCCGGCCGCTGCCCTCAGTGTGAGCAGGGAAATGCGGGGGAGCGGGTGCGGCAGGGAGGCCCCTCACCTGGTGGACGACGCGGGCTCTGTGGTCTGTCGCTGCAGCCGCGTGTGGCGCACGATGTGCTCTCGGACGGACATCTGCACCTCGGCCGGGATGTCCGGGGACGTGTGGCTGATCTTCACGGCCGCCTCCAGGAAGCCCAGCGCGCTGGGGTCCTTCAGCTTGTCCGCCATGGCGCCTGGGGGGCCGGGGGCCTCAGCAGGAGCGGGGCTGGAGGGCTCCTTGCTCCTCCGGGGCGGCCAGCGCAGCTTCCAAAAGAGAAAGAGAGAAACTGCCACCAGGGCCACGCCACCCACGGTGACCACCGCTGCGAGGAGGCCGGCAGAAGGGCCTGCCCCGGCGTGCGCAGGCAGGGAGGGACAGGCGACAGGGGGAGAGCGGGCAGGGCCGTGGGAGAGGGAGCACACACACAGGGACAGAGACAGGGACAGAGGGAGCACACACACACAGGGACACAGACGGGGGGGAGAGAAAAGAGTGGTGGTGAGAAAGCTGCCCAGGCGGAGGGGGCACGGCTTTAGGGCAGACGATCCACAGTCCGCTGGCCTTCACCTGCGTCTGGTTTTACAGCTCCCCTCCCCCCTCCACCAGTCAGCTCGGGGGCACCTCACGGCTTGTTGGCTGGTGCACGGGAAGGGAAAGTAATTTCAGTAACAGCCTAAGCAAATGTGCAGGCTCGCGAAGCATTCACACTTGGACGCCGCTTGCATTTCTATGAGAGCTGTGTTACGGTGGCCGGGCGTGTGGCAGGTCATCCTGGGGCACAGCTCTCCCTCCGCAGGCTGAGTGGCCTTGGAGACGGGAGGCTCCAGGACCTCCCCCTCCGCCCTCCCCCTGCCCCCGCGGAGCCCAGCGCGGGAGCTCAGTAAGTAGTCATGGATTTGACTTGCAGTGAATGAAATCCTGCATCATGGCTTCGAGGGCCGAGATCAGGTCTAACGCTTCTGTACTCAGAACTCTGCGCGTAGTGGGCTCCATAAAGACTTGCGTGAAGCTGGAATCCGATGCACACCGTTTATTTCCAAACTAAACGCAAACAGTCCTTATAAGCTATCTCTTCTTTTCCCCTCATTCCTGTGGCGAGTTGAGAGCGCTACTGTGAAACTGGTATTTCTGAGTGTTGTATCGATACTCGGTTCAGAGGCGGACGCTCACTGCCTGACCCCAGTCCGCCCTGCCCCCAGCAGGATGGCCGTTATCCCCAGAGAGGGTGGGGATGCCTCCCGCTGGGAGGAATGACTGAGCAGACCTCTCGCCCCACCTGTAGGAAAGGCCCCTGGAGCCTAAGACTTCTTCTGACTCCGAACGGAGAGGACAGGGGCTCTGAGACGGTGCCCGGCAGGTGTGCACAGAGGTCACCTGTGGACAGGCCAGCAGGGCAGTCTGTATGCTGACATGATGACTGGACAAGTGAGATTCCACTGCCAAACCTGCCAGGGAACCACCAGAGTTTTTGCTACTCTGGTGCCTAGCCCTGTCCTCATGCCGGGAGGGACCATTTGGAGGGGTGCGTCCTCACCAGTTCCACCCAGTTCCCTGCCCGGCCCCTGCAGCAGGCCCGTGAGTTTGCAGCCCCTGGATTATCTCGTCCCGAGGCCTTAAGAATCTTATGAAGATGAGAAACGACCCTGCAAGTGTGAGGCCAGGCTGCGCTTCTGCAGGTGGGCGGAGGGGTCCAGAGAAGGGACTGGTCTGGGGTCACAGGTCAGACACGGAGCCTGGACCAGGGTCCAGATGTCCACCGCCCAGCCTGGGGCTCTTTCCACCGTCCCAGCCTGTTTGTCCCTGATTAAGCTGTCGGCCTCTGGAACCCTGTGTTTTTTTATGTTCCTCTGACTCAGGGCCTCACACAGAAACTGGCCCATGAGAATAAATGAGTGAATGAATGAATGGCACAGAAAGGAGCTGTAATTATCTCTCAACCAACTTTGCTGAGCATCTGCCTTGGGCCAGGTGCTAGCTCTGCTTGGGAGCACAGAGATGCTCGGCCCAATCTGGGGGCATCCAGAGTACTCTCGCCGCATGCAGGCCCCCGGGAAAGTGGTCCCCCGTCCAGAGGGGGCTGACAAGGAGGCGAGGACCCCAGCCTCCCTCTCTGGGGAGCCAGCACTGCCTTCCGACTCCCCTGCTTGGAGTTCTGGCCTTGACCAGCTACCGCTTCATGAATAGGGAGTAACAGCAGGGAACCCTCAAGTCCTCGGTCACCTGCACCAACCCCCAGGCCCCTGCACAGACTCTGGAGCCTTCCGGCCAGAGGAGCTGGGGTCAGCCCCTCCCAGGAGACTGAAGGTCTCCAATGGGGGTTGCATGCCTCCAGGGGACACAAGAGAAGAAATTTCAGATTGTTTTAATATCTATATACTATCTTAAAAGTAAGACATCAAGCTCTGGCCAGTGTGGCCCAGTTGGCTGAGCGTTGTCCCGTGCGCTGAAAGATTGCCGGTTCAGTTCTCAGCCCGGGCACATGCCCAGGTTGTGGCTCAGTCCCCAGGGTGATCCCTGGTCGGGGTGTGTATGGGAGGCAGTCGATTGATGATCCTCCCTCGCATCAATGTTTCTCTCTCTCTCCCTCTCCCTTCTTCTCTCTCTAAAATCGATTAAAAAAAAAAAACAATTAAAAAAATAAGACATAAAAACTTTAGCATACATAGAGGTTGACAGTAATAGAACTGATGGCATTTTATTATTGTAATTAGGTCAAGTTATTGAACACTACCATGTCCAAAGTACAAAATGCTTTTTATGTGTCTTGCTCATACTCTCCAGGGAAAGGGGCCTGGCTATTATGCCCATTTTGCAGATGAGGAAACTGAGGCACAGAAGACTGAATTGACTGCCCAGGGTCACACTACTCGAGCGGCGGCGCCCAGATACAGCCCGTGCTATTCGGCTCCGCAGTTCTCTCTGTTGGTGTGCGATGTACCTCACGGGGCCCCTGGGGTGCCCGAGAGCAGCCATGGACAGATCTGTCCTCCTTCTGAGTATCCGCCAGCTCTAGCCCCTTGACCTCTGCGCTCGGTTACAGCTGTGCTGGCTGCCTTCTCTGCAGTGAGTCATCTTAAAACAAAAGGTATTTCTAGGACTTGGCTTTCTTTTGATCATACATCTTACTTGCTCTGGTAGTAATTCGAATTTTAATGAGGAAGGGGGAGAGATGGGGGGGGGGCAGAGAGAATGGAGTGCATTTAAATGCTCAGCCTGACAAAATACTGAATTCCTAAGGGAAGAGAGAGGTGGGGCAGGGGGCGGGCCGAGGGAATCAATTCTTCCTCCAGTGGTTGCTATTTTGAACCTTTCTCCGCACGACCCCCTGCTGCTGTTCCCTCGAAGCTGTGATTAAGGGAGGCAGGGGTACGGATTCCTGGAATCGGCGCCCAGCGCTCAGTGCTGGTTATGTAAGGCCAGCAGCCTTCCTCTGCCCATCGCGTCTTCTCCCCGGACACCTCCCAGGCAGGCACGGTGAGGAGAGCCGGGGCCTGGTGCTGAGGGGGTCCGCTCACAGGGGATGGGTGCGAGGGGGTGAGCGAGGCTACGAAGAGCAGAATTAGGCCAGGGCAGGGATAACTGTACGGCACTGAGCCCCTTCACGTCACTACACGTGGCCTTGAACTCAGCCAGCCCGCGCAGCCCGGTTCAAGGCCTGAGGACCGTGCGGAGGCCCAGGCCACGGAAGCCGGTGGTCGCCGGCCTTTCAGCCCTCACACAGATCGCCAGTGGACCTCAGACCACCGGTTGGCGACTGCTGACCTAAGCTATGTGCCTCTCTACCCGGCCTGCCGGGCCAAAGGGCCAGGACGTGCTGCCCTCGCAGGGGCACAAGCAGCCTTCGGAGCCTGTTCCCACCCTCGGAAGTTAAGATCTTCCCGAGGGACCTGCCTGTCACCTTAAGTGCGGCTGTCTGGCCCCGGTGATGGCTCCTGGCCTCCCTCTCCCTCCGGGAAGTGCTGGGTTATTCATTAGCAACCAGGGCTTTCTTATCTCCGCTGCTGACACTTCCCTCTTCAGACACAGAGCCGAGCCCGCCCCCCTCTCTCCACCCGTGGTGTTAGGACTGCTCTGTGACTCTTATCGCTCGCTGTTGTCCCCGTGTCTCCAATGGGCTCCAGGTCAGGAAAGTCCCTTTTGTAACATTAACGGGCATTTGCGTTAGCAGATGTAATTGAAAAGATAACTGGGGAGAGGAAGTGAAAAGAAAGGACCATTTTCCCCTCTCCCCTCAAATCCGGAGAAGGCTGCCAGGTGAGGGGCTGTCATTCGGACACAGACAGGGACCGTGTGGCTCAGAGACCCAGAGCCGGAAAGCAGAAGCCACAGGGCTCAAGCCTGGTCTGGGACTGGAGATGCCTCTGGGCGATGTTACTCCAATAGCAATACCAGTCATGTTACCCGTTACTTCTGTGTGGTCAGCACTGTCCCCCCTCACCCGAGCGCACCTCATCTTTAAAGCCTGCCTAAGAAATCAGCATTCAGCTCTCAAAGATAATCAGTTCAGTTTGGAGACGTTAACTCAGTAACTTGCTCTAGAGAACATCGCATTAAGTGGAAAAGCTGGGATTTGAACCTGGGACTTTGACGCCAGGCCTCCGAGGGAACCAGAGGCTGCGCTGAGGGCCGGGCAGGGACCTGGGCAGCATCTCTTGGTTATCATCGGAGAAGGTGGAGGCCGTGTCTGCTCTGTGACCTGGCCCCGCGCACCTGGGCGAACCTGGAGAGCAGGCTTATGGCCACCTCACCCCCCCTTCCTGCCCGGAGCGCCGACCCTGCGGGCCACCCAGCAGCCAGCGGGCAGTCACCTGCGGCCTGGAGTCTCACTGCCCAGACGTGCCTGAGAATACCTGTGTGTGCGTGTGTGCGTGTGTGTGCGTGAGTTAGTGTGTGTGTGTGCGTGTGAGTGTGTGTGAGTTAGTGTGTGTGTGTGCGTGTGAGTGTGTGTGAGTTAGTGTGTGTGTGTGCGTGTGAGTGTGTGTGAGTGAGTTAGTGTGTGTGTGTGTGTGTGCGCGCGTGTGTGTGTGCGCGTGAGTTAGTGTGTGTGCGTGTGTGTGTGTGAGTTAGTGTGTGTGTATGAGTGTGTGTGAGTTAGTGTGTGTGTGTGTGTGTGCGAGTGTGTGAGTATGTGTGTGAATGCATGTATGTGTGTGAATGTGAGTGTGTATGTGAGTGTGTGAATGTGTGTGTGTTAGTGTGAGTGTGTGTGTGTTAGTGTGTGTGTATGAGTGTGTGTGAGTTAGTGTGTGTGTGTGTGTGTGCGAGTGTGCGAGTATGTATGTGAATGCGAGTGTGTATGTGTGTGAATGTGTGTGAATGTGAGTGTGTGTGAGTGTGTGTGAGTGTGTGTGTGAATGTGTGTGTTAGTGTGAATGTGAGTGTGTGTGAGTGTGTGTGTGACTGTGAGTGAAAGTGTGAGAGTGTGACTGTGTGTGGGGGTGTGAGTGTGAGTGTGTGAGTGTGACTGTGAGTGTGTGTGTGAATGTGTGTGTGTTAGTGTGTGTGTGAGTGTGACTGTGTGTGTGTGTGTGAATGTGTGTGTTAGTGTGAGTGTGTGTGAATGTGAGTGTGTGTGTGTGAGTGTGAGTGTGTGTGAGTGTGTGTGTGACTGTGTGTGTGTGTGTGTCTGTGTGTGAGTGTGTGTGTGACTGTGTGTGTGAATGTGTGTGTGTTAGTGTTAGTGTGAGTGAGTGTGTGAGTGTGAGTGAGTGTGTGTGTGTGAGTGTGTGTGTGTGAGTGTGTGTGTGTGTGACTGTGTGTGTGTGAATGTGTGTGTGTTAGTGTTAGTGTGAGTGAGTGTGAGTGTGTGTGAATGTGTGTGAGTGTGTGTGAATGTGTGTGAATGTGTGTGTGACTGTGTGTGTGTGTGCCTGTGTGTCGGGGGGTGGGGGGTAAGCAGAGGCTCTCCTGTTCCGAGGCGCACCGACGTGATCCATTCATAATGAGCTCTGCCTGGGCTTGTAAATTTATTGGGAGAACCTGGTGTAATTAAAATTCCGGGTTAGCAGGAGGGGGAGCGGAGACTGCTTTCTCTCCTGCTTTCAGCGATCCAGGCCAAAGTACCGATGGGGATAATTAGCGGAGTCCAAACAGAGAAGGAATTAATGCTCCCGAAAAGGCCGCGATGGGGAGACAGTGCTGAGCTAATTGCGGCCGCCCCCCGCTTCCCGACTGGCCGCCGCGTCCGCCTTCGTTAGGGCTTCAGGGTGAGGCGGGCTGCGGAGCCACAGCCAGCAGAGCACGGGCGTCATTCTGGCAGGCGCTGACTGAGCCTTGCTGCCTGCTCGGTCAGGGCGGGTGGTCCCCCTGAGTGTGGGGTGATGAGGGGCCGGGGGAGTGGCAGACAGAGAGCCAGAAGGTTCTTTACCCTCCACCCCACTCTTCCTGTTTATACCTGCAACTCGTCAGGGGAAGGTCTGCCTGGGTCCAGGTGGAGCCAGAAAAACGGATCCGCAATGGAGAGAGAGGAGGGAGGGAGAGGTGGTGCCACATCCCTAACACATCCCCAGCGGGAGGCCCCCCTGACCTCCGTTCCAAGCCTCCGGGCCCAAGAGGCCACTTTTTCTAAGCAGGGCCACCGGGGTGCCACCGAGCTCAGTGGGTCTTTCCTCCCCCTTTTATCCCCCCCTTCAGACAGCCCCACGCAGACCCTCCAGAAGCCTGGCCTGACCCTGTGCCTCCATCTTCGTCCTCATTATCTGCTGCCACGTGTTATCTGCAGCCCAACTCCGAGGACGGGGGCACAGAGCGACGCCACCACAGCTAGAAGGGAAGCCGTCTTGTACAGAGCTCCGAGGGAGGGGCGTTCTGGACCCACCGCCCCCACTCTTGATGTCCCGCCATCGGGAGAAAACCTCCAGACCTCTAAGTCTAAGGCTCACCGCTCCAGCGCGCCACAGCCTGCTTCTAGAATCCTGCAGCTCAAGGCACACCAGAGGATGAGAATGCCACCAGGCCGGGTGAAATGCCGGATTCTCAAAGGCAGGCAAAACCTGCAGACGGCCTTTTCCCAGCGCGGAGGGAGGGAGGGAGGGAGAGGGGGGGGCTGATCACAACAGAAGCGGGACTTCGGTGTTCGGATGACACGCTGTGCATGTAACGTGGCATCACAAGCAGAGACCACATTATCTGTGCCGCAAACAGGCCACTTCAAAGCCGGTGGCTGCATCAAAGACCATCCCCAGTGTCATTAGAGACCGGAACAAACATCACATATGTCTCTCAGCCATAGGTGAGCGAGAGAACAACCATTCCCGGCTGCCAGCCGCACCGGGCCGGCAGCTCAGGGTCTCCCCGCAGCCTGCACCTGCGGGAATACCTCAAACTCCGCTGCCTCCTCCGATCCAGAGCCCGGCCACCCTCACCAACGCTTTAAAACTTGGCCTACGGAAAAGCTGAACGATGGAGATGGCCCACCCGTGTCCCCTGGTGGGGGTCGGAGGCGTGTATCCAGGAGGAAGCTTTCAGAGCTTTTAAAGAAAAGGGGGACTTGCTTTTAGCTGGGACGGTGTGCGTCGAGGCATGGGGTCTGGTTGAGACTGGCTGTGCAATTCCTAGCACAGACCCTGGTTTAGAACAGGCCCCGGGAAATGACAGTAGAGACTGAATCGCGATTGCTGAATCTCGGGGTGTTACTAGAAGCCCCTCGAGGTAGAGACCCGGAGCAGGAGGAAAGCAGGAGAAACGCCCAGGGATAAGGTGGACTGGGCATGCGCTAGCCACTTGCATTTTTCATGTAACTGCAAATGGGAAAGACAAAACACACAGCACCGCTGCCCGGAGACGCTGGGCCCAGGCAGTGGCTCTGGGATGCAGGGAGCAGGCTGGGAGGTGGGGTCCCCGGAGGTCCGGTCCTGAATGCTACAGCATCTCCCCAGCCCCTGTGCTCCCCTAAACGGCCCCATCCCAAAGCGGCTCTCAGCCTCTTTCCTTCTCGTGCTGGGACCCAGGACCCCACGCTGCCTCCCACGTCCCCTTCAGCCCCCAGCTTGGCCCCCCGGGCTCCCGAGGCTCGTGGCTCAGCAGGAAAGTCAAAGCACCACCCCTCCCGGGGCTGCAACTCAAAACCGCTTCCTGGAGCAGCCTGCGGGGCAGACCCTGGTGCGCCTGGGCCCGCTGGCGCTCACTGTCCAGCCTTCTCTCACCCTCCGCCTGGCGGTCAGATACCTGTCACTCCAGACAGCAGGGCGTCCCTCTAGTCAGAACACCAGGGCCTCCCGGAATCACACACACACACACACACACACACACACACACACACAACTACCCTCAGCCCCAGCATGTCTGCCCTGGACAGGCAGGCGGGCAGCCTCCATTCCAGATGGAACTCGACAGGTGTCCCCTCACCTTGTATTATCCCTTTGGGGTCGGAGGGCTCAGGACGGGCACTGAGGGCCCCACCGGGTGTATCATTGGAGGAAGGATGGAAGGGAGCCCGAGGCGGGCAGGAAGGGCCGCCCTGACTTGGGGAAAACTGTGCATCTGGAGGGTATGCATGGGGAGGTGGGGGGTGTGGGGGGTGATGGCACCGGAGAACCAGTCTAATAACGCTCGCTGGGTCTAATCTAGTCTGAGATTCTTCAAGAGGGAGACTCGAACCCTCCACCCTCCATCACCGCCCCGCCCTCTGAAGTTCCCGGTGTCTAACCTGAGTCCCGGCTGCTGTCGCAATGAAGCCCTGGGTTGAACGTTGCCAAGGCCAGAGAGAGCAGCGCCTCCTGTACCCGTCACACACAGGATCCACGAGCCCCACCTCTTCCCTCTCCCGACCCCCAGGGGCCCCTCCTAAGCCAGGACCTACCTATGGGCCTGACCTTTAACCTCAGGTGAAGCCAGGGCCCCGGGCCCGCGGACTCTGGGAGCTTACCCCGCCGGCCCGGCTCGGGCACCGCGGCTCAGGACTCCGGGTCCCTGGTCCCGGGAGAAGTGCGAGGAGACGGAACCCCGGCTCTGCAGCCCCTTCCTCCCTTCCCGCCGCCGCACGGAGTCCGGCTCCCTCCGCGCCCCCGGCCCGGCGCCCCGGGGTGGGAGGGGGCCGGGGAGGCTGGAGGCTGCGGGGCGCAGGGAGCCGGGCGCCCCGGTCCCCGCAGGACCTCCCCGCCCCCACCCCGCATTCCCCGGCCTCCGCGCCCCGCGCCCCCGCCGGAGGGGCCGCGACCCTCCTCCCTCCCGGCGTGGCCTTCGGGACAAAGAGCTCGGCGGCTGCCGCGGGCCCGCGGGCTCCACCTGCCCACCTCCCGCCGCCCCGGCCCGGCCCGCGGCCGAGCGCCGCACTCACCGGCGGGCGGGCGGGCGGGCGGCGGGGGCTGCGGCCGGGCTCGCGGCCCCGGGCTGCGTGGGGCGCGGGGTCCGCGCCGCTCGGCGAAGTCGGGAGAGAATCCGGCTCCGTCGCGCCCCGGCCCCGAGTCCGCGTGAGTCAGAGGCGGCGGGGGAGGCGCTGCGCCACCGCCTCCCGCCCGCCCCGCCCCCGGAGCGCGGCCCGGGACAAAGCCCGCGTGCGGCGCAGCCCAAGTTTCTCCCCGCGGCCCCGAGGCCGCCGCCGCACACACCCCGCCCCTGGCGGATCGCCCCGGGGCGAGGCGGAGGCGGAGGGAAACTGAGGCCCAGGGTCCCGCGGGGTCGCACGGGAGGGGGAGGGGGAGGGGGACGGGTTCCTCTCCTCCGGCCCTTCCCGCCGCCGCCTGCCCCGGGGCCACGGCCGGGACTGGCGGGCTGGCGGCCGGTCGGGGTCTGGAGCCTGAGTTGTCTGGGTCCGGGCTCCGGGCCAGGGGGATGGGGACTGGGGGCGGGGGGTGCCAGGGGGACGGTCCGGGAAAGGGGGCTCGGTGTCGCGGTACCTGCGTTGGCCGCGCTCGGACTCCGCTCCGGGGTCTGCGGCTCGAAGCTCTGACAAGTCTCCAGGTCCAGGCCGAGGGGGGGCGGCCGGGCCCGGCACAGCGAGGCCAGGACCGCGAGCGCCGCCTGGCACCGCGCCCCCTCCGCGCCCCGCGCCCCGCTCATGCCGGGACCCCAGGCCCTGGGGCAGCCGCGGTCCGCCCGCCGGACTGGGGCCGGACTGGGGCCGGACTGGGGCCGGACTGGGCCGGGCTGGGGCCGGACTGGGCCGGGCTGGGGCCGGGCTGGGGCCGGACTGGGCCGGGCTGGGGCCGGGCTGGGGCCGGACTGGGCCGGGCTGGGGCAGGACTGGGGCAGGACTGGGCCGGGCTGGGCCAGGCGCGGCCCCTGCGGCTCCCGGGGTTTAATCACTCCCGCGGGGCCCCCGCCCCTCACGTGGCAGCCCGGCCCATCCCGGCAGCTGGCACGTCTGGCGCCTCCTGCCGCCCCCTCCACACTCGGGACCCGCCCGAGTCCCGGGCCGGGAGGTGGCACCCGCTGGCCCCCGCCCTGGAGGAGGCCGGGCCGCGGAGGCCGGGACCTGGCCCCGTCCGCTGCCTGCGGTGACCTTGGCCGCTCTGGGTCTCCCTTCCCGCTCGGCGGGGAGCTGAGGAGAACCAGTGCCCAGGAGCTGCTGTGGCTGTAAAGATGCTGTTTGTGAAACGCTGGTAAACTGCCCCGTGCCCACAAGTGGTGACGGAATGGAAACCTGTATCCCGGAATGTGGCCGGCGGGTTTGGGGGGCCTTGGCCAGGGCTCCTGGCGGGAAAGTTAGACTCGCCCCGAGTCCCAGCGTCGGAGGCAGAAAAGCCCTGGGACTGCGGGGCGATGGAACTGCACAAAGTCTCCGCGAGCCCCGCAATCCTGCGGTCCGCGGTACCGCGTGTTGCTATGGCGACGGGAGGCAGCGGCCGTCTCTCTCCATGGCAACGGGAGGGGAAAGTTTCTGGAGAATAGGAATGGCGGGGGCCTTTCCGGAGGGCGCTGGGCTCCCACCAGACCCACCTCCCTGCACCCGCACACCACCACGGAGGTCATGCATGCTGCAGTGAAGCATCGTGGGGGCCAGAAAGACCAAAATTAAATTTTGGTGGAGGCTAGACTTGAGGCCGAACTCCACGAGGGGAGCTGAGCCGTGAGGTCCAGGAGCAGGTTGGCGAGGGGCTCCGGGGAGCTCCGCTCAGCCCTGCAGAGGTCGGAGCCGCCACGGGCGCCCGGGCCTGGGGGGAGGGATGGAGCGGGGAGGGCTGTCACAGAAGGCTCCTCGCCGCGTGGGCAGGTGGGCCCCTTCCTACGCGGAGCTCACCCGAGGCTCCAGCGCGGGTCCCTCTGCCTTCCTAGAGCCGGAAGGAACTTTGGCTGGAGCCTCCGGCAGCCGCGGGGCGGAGTGCACGGCGGCGGTGGCGCAGGAAGGCCTTTCCTCCTCGTTAACACGCTAATTGGGAGAGGCTCTGGCGGTGACCCACGTTTGGGCGGGAGGAGGTTCTGGGGGCCCAGTCCCCGCAGGTCTGCACCATCGGCGCCAGCCGCGTGGACGTGAGGACTGCAGGCAGCCGGGCCCGGGGACAAAGGGCCTGCGAGGCCGGAGGGGACGGGCCTGACCAAACGGGCTTTCCCGCCGGGCGCCCCCTGGCTCTGTCCACGGTGCTGAAGGGCCAGCGGAGGAGGGAGCTGGGTTAGGGAAGAGTAGGGCGGGTTCGCAGCTTCCGCCCTGGCCTCTGCAGTGGGAGAGGGCTGGAAACCCTCTGCAGGTAGAAGGAACAAAGGGGCGTGCCCCGGGGCGACACTAGGCAATCCAGGCCGCCTTCCTGGGGGCGGTGTTGAGTGAGTCCCAAGAACAGCGGAGGCTGTGGAGTCCCCATTGGCCTCCCAGGGCTCCAGAACCCACCTGAGGAGCCCCGAGGTTCTGCCACCTCCGCCCACCGCCGAATGCAAAGCTCAGCACCTGGGGGAGACGGAGCGCAGCGGCCCCTTGTTACCGGCTCATTAGCCGGCTCCCGGGTGGCAGGTCTGTGTTTATGTAAAACACAAATGGGAAGAACTGCACTCTGCCGGTGTTTATGGCAACTCTGCCACTCCGCGGCGATCTCTCCCCCCATCTCCAGTTCCCGGAGAAATTCGCAGAACAAAGCGCCTTGTTTTCCTTTGCAGAGAATGAAAACAAAACAAAAACCCACACAGGATTCCAAGGGCCCAGACCTCTGATGCAGAGAAATCAATGTTTTACTTAACAATGAGAGGAGGTATTCACATCTAAACGGAAGGTGAGGGAGCCTGAGAGGAGGAGAGCAGATGGCAGGAGGGAGAATGGGCAGATAATTCCTCATTGTTCCCGGAGTCAGCCTCACACTCGGCAGGCAGCTCTGCAGCAGCCCTGGCGCCCGCGGCAGCTTCGGACCTGGCACTTGTCAGCCGAGCAGGGAGAAGGTCCTGCTCCGACAGGGCTGTGCGGAGGGCCGGGCTCTCTTCAGGCAATAACCACTGAATCTGGAGCGTGTGTGTGTGTGTGTGTGCGCGCGCGCGCGCGTGAGAGAGAGAGAGAGAGAGAGAGAGAGAGAGAGAGAGGAAACACTAGGGAAAGAGACAGAGAGGCCGAGGCTGAGACAGAACAGAGACAGAGGACTGATACCCATGGAGAATGAGAGGCGACAGAGAAGCATGTTTTGTTTTGTTTCCAGTTCACATGAAGAAAAAGAGTCACCCTAGCTGTCCTCCTCATGCCTCCTCATGCCCTCCAGGTCAGCTACTGATCTCTGGAGTCGCATCACCAGCCGCAAAGCAGAAAACAAATGCTCTTGGGCAGACGAGCCTTTTCCTCTCCAGACCCTCTCCCTCCCACAGCCCGCTCTCAGGTCACCTGTGCTCCTCCCGCCAGGAAGAAGCCAAATGCACACGCACAGGGTCCTCCCGGCCGGGAGGGAGGGGACAGGCGTGGGCCGTCGCCCTCAGCGCTGTCTCGGAGGAAAGCCAGGCTTAGGGGTGTGGGGAGAGAGGGAGGAGCAGCATAGCGGCAAACAAGGGCGCTGGGCAGGGCCCCAGCAGGCTGGCTTCCAGGGCCATCACACTCCATGGCTGTGCATCGCTTTCCTTATCTGCAAGATGATGAGCTCGGATGAGGTCCTCTGTGGGGCTCCTTCCGGCAGCAGCATTCTAGATTTCACAGGAAGGGAAGGGAGGAGGCTGAGGGGGCAGAGGGGAGCTGGGCTATGGAAGGCCAGCTTTTCCTGGCTCTGAAGAAGAGGGTGGAGGTACAGATGTCCCCGCTCACTTCGGGCTTCCCCTCCCCCATTGCTCTTGCTTTCACCTCTTCTGCAGTCGTGGCTGGAGCGTTCGGAGTCTGGGACCTCACCCCCCTCATCCCCTATCGCTGCCCAGAAGCAGAGGGGGACTTGGAGGGGGGAGGGGCAAGGCCAAATGAGAGGAGGTTTGAGGCAGAACCCAGCACCCTCCCACTCCTTTCTCCCCCTCTCCTGAGAAATAGGCAAATGCACACCCTCTGCCCAGCGCCCAGTCTCTTAGGCAGTGGCCTGGAGACCTGGACAGGCTTCACACACACACACACACACACACACACACACACACACACACACGGTACTGAGCAGCAGTGCCCTGTTGAGTTCTGCTACAAATAAACGAAAACAAAATACTAATTTCTTTTAAAAACCTCAGCCTTGGTAGGAAATTGCTAATGCTGTAGGCGGGAAGAATGAGCTGCTCTGACATGAGCTGATGTGTCATATTGTCTTTCCATCTCAATGCGATTTCTAAATCAGGAGCCCTCTGCTCCCTCCTCCCCGAGCCCCCAGCGGGGATGTGAAGGGAGCGGTCTGACACTCCGTCGTAGCTGGTTGTCAGGGGGCAGGCGGAGGAGGAGACGCAAGCGGACCCCTTGCTTTCTCACCTACGGGGGCTCTGACCCAACTTTGAGGGCCTCAGACCTAACCCCTTCTCCTGCTTACTGCGGCCCTTTCTGCAGAGGTTTTAAATTTACTCTAGGAAAACAGACACCCGCCGAACCTATTGTCCGGCAGGTGAATTAAGCTGATGTCCTGCATGGGGCAGTGGGAATAACTGTACCATCATTGGGGACAAACTCTGCTCTGGCATCTCGATGGGGTTTGGGCCAGATCAGCTTCATCAATGCTTCCAGTAGATGTCACTCTTTGCTCCCCCACCCCCCACACCGACATAGCCGCTCTAGCCCACGCTGGGTGAGAAGGCACACTGTGGCCTTCCTCGCCATCCTCAGAGTTGCCGGGCGTTCCTCCTGTCCGGGGAAGTGGCAGGGGCCTGTCAGAGCCAGCCTCGCTGCTGTTCTAGGAAAGCTGCTGGGCAGTTCACGCCTCCGGAGCCACGGCTGGGTTTACCGCTTCCTCGTTCCTTCCCAGCTCAGAGGTTTCATTTCTGTTCTGAGCTCTCTGCTCAAGCGGACAGTATTCCAGATCAGACTGGACAGGGTTCAAGCTCCCTACCGTCTGGGACCTGGGGAAGCAAGATACAGGTTCAGGGTCAGAAGGCAACATCAACCCGGGGCCAGTTTTAATTTTTTTTTAAAAATATATTCTATTGATTTTTTACAGAGAGGAAGAGAGAGGGACAGAGAGAAATGTCGACCAGCTAGCTGCCTCTTGCACACCCCCTACCGGGGATGTGCCCGCAACCAAGGTACATGCCCTTGACCGGAATCGAACCCGGGACCTTTCAGTCCGCAGACTGACGCTCTACCACTGAGCCACACCGGTTTCGGCTCCCTGGGCCAGTGTTAAAGCTGGACCTGACCACCATGGGCCCAAGGCTCTAGCAGTAAAGAAGTACGGATGATGGGGGGCGGGGGGGGCGAGGAAGGGAGAGCGCGGGTTTTGGCATCAGACAGACCTGTGTTCAAATCCTGGCTCTGTCACTTACCAACTGTATCACGCTAAGCACCGTAACTTTAGTTTTCTGAACCTCAACTTCCCCATCTGTAAAATGGGACCTTAAGGCCTGGTTTATAGTCTACAAGGATTCTGTGAGTTAGCTGGCTACCTAATATACCACATACACTGTGGCAGAGGGATGGCAGGTGTTAAATGGCAGTTCCTACCCTCTTCCATGTCTCAGAGGGTTAACCCTCACTCTTCCGCTGGGCGGGTCCCTGAGGATTACCTACCAAAAGGGAGTCGATCTCATTGGATCCTGTA